CCCTCAGGCTGCCAGAACCACGGCAGCAGCCAGGTCCCAGGTCCTGGTGGCTGGCTACCCCACTGTGGCCGTTTTACTTCCGGAAGCCTCTAAGGTCTCATGCTGCTGGGTCCACAGGGAAGGTGGCTTTGGCTTTCATTGCCTCAGTAAATGTTTGGTTTGAGTCATGAGGGTATTTTAGACCTCGTTCTTGCAAGGACCACTCACGTTTTCTGCTCTGCTCTTGCTGCCTTTTCATTAAAATCGTTCTTTTTTCCTGTTCCCATACCAATCTGTGAGTCACTATGGATATCTTCGTAGGCGGAAACAGATTTCAGCTGATGCTGGTCAGCCCTTAGCTTGGAGGGAGGGCACGGTCTCCCAGGGATACGACATGAAGGCCCTGTACACACAGCCAACCATCCCAACTCCCTGCCACCAATTCACGTGGGGAAAGGCTGGTGCTGCTTAAGAAGTCCGACAATTCTTAATGACCACTTTCATTTTTATATTCTTTCGTCTAGAGAATTCTTGTCAGAAGGCTTTAAAAAAAAGGAGAAACGGGATTCCTGACTGGATGATGATGAAGGGACCAGGAGACACGCTAGTTGCCCACTGGTTTCTTTCTGTGTCTACTCACACAGAATGTGTTCTGTCTGACACCCTCGGGCTGCCGGAACCACGACAGCGGCCAGGTCCCAGGTCCTGGTGGCTGGCTACCCAGCTGTGGCCGTTTTACTTCCGGAAGCCTCTAAGGTCTCATGCTGCTGGGTCCACAGGGAAGGTGGCTTTGGCTTTCATTGCCTCAGTAAATGTTTGGTTTGAGTCATGAGGCTTCGACAGTGGCTGCCTTTTATTGAGGTCTTTCCTCTGGTTGCCTGTTAGATGACTCACCCTGGCCAGCCCGGCTTCTCCTTGATGTCTAGATGGAATTGGTCTTCCCACCAGGGCGGGACTCAGACTCTGACATGGGCCTCAACAGCCTTTTCCCACTCCCTAGTGACGATGGGAAAGAGGTGACAGACAGGCCATCACCAGCCTCTCCAGCTTCGCCAGCCTCACTCCTCCTGCTCTGCTATTTGCAGTCAGGCACTTTCTGCTCCTGCCTCTCCTGCCCACCAGTGGCCTGATCTTTCCTTACCCAGGCACCTAAAATCACATTTTCTGAGTCTTAAAATGACTAGCACCCCACAATGATAGTAGGTACCTCAGTCACCTGCTTGAGAGGACCTTTCTGCTTCCTAAAGGTATCAGTTGGGCTGGGCTGCTATAACAAATAGCAGCCTAGGTGGCTTAAATAACATAAATCTATTTATTTTCTCATGCTTCTGGAGGCTAGAAGTTCAAGATCAAGTTATCAGCAGGGTTGTTTCTTCCAGGGCTTCTCTTGGCTTATAGGTCTTCTCCCTGTGTCTTCGCATGGTCTTCCCTCTGTGTGTGCCTCTATCCCAGTGGTTCCCAAACTTATTTGGCCTACCGCCCCCTTTCCAGAAAAAATATTACTCAGCCCCTGGAAATTAATTTTTTTTAATTTTAATAGCAGTTACTCATGGCCCCCAAATGCACCTGTGGCCATCACCGCCCCCCTGGATCGCTGCAGCGCCCACCGGGGGGCGGTAGCGCCCACTTTGGGAATCACTGCTCTATCCTAATCTCCTTTTCCTATAAAGACACTGGTCATATTGGATTAGGGCCCATCCCAATGCCTCACATTAACATAATTACCTCCTTAAAGAACCTATCTCTGAATACAATCACATTCTGTGGTACTGGAGGATTAGGGCTTCAACAAATGATTATGGGGTATGGAATACAAGCCAGCCCACTAGGAATCCCACTAGGATTCCACTCAAAACTTCTCGACTTTATTGTGTCCCCTCCATGCACTTGCCTGGAGTTGAGTGTCTGGAGGTGGGTAGGAAATACCACACCCCGAGCCTGGTATAGGCTATGTTTGATTATTGAAAGGGATTGAGAGATGGCTGGACCCAGGATTCTGAACCCTGTCCCACCAAGACTACTATGCCTCATCCCCCAAGAGGAATCACAAAAGCAGAGTCATCCCACAGCATACCTGTTTACTATGGACCTAGCCATGCGGATAGAACAGGGAGGAGCTAGACTGGGCTGTACCAGACAAATCTTGGTGGTGGTTGTAATGAGCACTTACTATACCAGATCCTGTGCTGCATGTTCACATTCTTTAGAAAAGAAAAAAGAATATTGAGACCTACCATCCACTATTTTATTAACATGCAACATATAGGAAGGACGTAACCTGAGAGTAAACAACAGTCATGTGCATGGAAATAATTTTGCTTTACAAATACTGTACTCACCTTGATTTTCTCATCCTGCTATGAACCAGGGACTTCTAGGGAGTTATCATTTGATAACTTAGCTTTGAAGGTGAATGGAAGGAAGTCAGTGAGGGACTAGGAAAAAATCCCACAGAAAAAAATGAAGTCAATAATGTTACAGAAACACCAAAGCTTTGGAGGAGGACACAGATGGATTGGAATCCTGGCTCTCAAGAAATAAACAGGAGCTCATGGTGTGTGACCTCCCTGGCCCCCATATTTGAGTAATGGGGTGTTAATTTGTCTTAGTGGTTGTGAGGAAAGAATTAGGTGGAACTTATTAATATTAGAAGACCACTGATCTCTTCTAGATTCTGTGAAACAATCTTAGAATTATTCTTCTTTTTATGCTAAAGAAGTCACAGATACACAAATAATTGTCACTTAAAAAAAGCTGCCTGTCTTTAAAAGCTGTGCTTACCATTATGTCATTATAGTTCCATTTATGTAGGTTTCTGGGTCCGTAGTATGCATGTCAGGCAGTTAGAATTAAGCAGCAGCTACCTCTGGCCATGATACCAAAAATATGGGCCCATCAGTAGTCCTTTGAGATGAAATCCTGTGCCAGAGATCCGTCTCATTTCACAGAGGTTAGAAAGAAAGAAGCCTTTGTCTTATTAATTAGCAGAGATGAATTGACATCATAATCAGAAAAAGAGACTTATTGCAAACCGAAGAATTCTCTTCCATCATTTATTCTTTTTCCTTTTATTCCTCCCTCTCCCCCCTCAGTAAGAAACACATCACATTTTTGGAAGGGTTTTTTTGGTCTTGAAAGGGAAGAGTCTTCAAGTGTGTTTGTGCATGGTGCCGCAGAAGCCAAGAGAGGGAGAAGAACAGATGGAGTGAGACCTTGGCAGGAGTGGGGGTCCCTGGAATATGGAGACAAATGGAGGGATCCCCACTCCTGCCATATTACCGCCACCTTCCCACATCCATTCCCTGCAGGGAAAGAGTTGGCCTTTGAGGTACAGTACAACCACAGGTGAATCAGAGATCCACTAGCCAGAGGTGCGTAGATCCGGGTCCTCATCCTAGCTCTGCTGGGAGCAGGCTGCATCCCATAGAGAAATTAATTGCCTACCTGAGCCGCAGTGTCTTCACATCTTATAAGGAAACACAGGGCACGTTAAGCCCCTACTGGTGCATGTGGTAAATGCTCATAGGTAACAGCTCTCCTTACTGTCAGTGCACTGATACTTGGTGCTATAAATTCTCTTTCATCAGACACAAAAGAGCAAAATGAACGTCCTGAACAATCTATCCAAATTACTGTGTATATGTATTTCTGACTGTAACACATTGCATGTGAATTTATGCTTTGCTGGCAGTCTCACTGGCTGTTGGAAACTTGAATATTTACAGTGTCAGCATAGCCTAAAGGTTGAGCACTTGGATGCTGGAGTCTCATAGCTCCCCTTTGAATCTCTATGTATCAACTCGGGCCTTGGGCAAGGTGCTTAGCCTGTCTGTGCCTCAGTTCCTTCATCAGCAGAATGGGAATGATGACAGCAGCACCTCTGTCAAAGGACTGGGACGAAGATCAAATGTATTGATATTTGTAAAGTGTTTAGCACAGTGTCAGGCACATCCTGTAATATAGGTACTTGTGAAATAAAGAAGCCCAAGTAATTTTGGCTGTTTCTTCAAATGATCTGTAGGATCAGATACATTTTCTAGGGCTTGCTAATTGGAATCACATTTTGAGCTTAAAGAATTCCCATCTTTGGTTCAAAACCTGAAGAAAATTGCATCCTGGCATCTATTTCTAAGAAGTGTTCAATGAAAGGGATTCCTTAGGTAAACACTTGGAGGTGCTAAGCGGTTTCCTGGGGTGTCAGGACTCTTTGAAATGCTGAGGACTCTCAGACATGCAGATCCTGAAACTGGCTTTGAACTTTTGATGGCTCTCCCAGATATGCAAATTAAGAACTAGCTTTGACCAAGCAACCTGCGGGGCCACTGTGTGGGGTGACCAAAACAATGGTGTTGTGTACAGAATCCTGGGGGTAGCAGAAAATTCAGTGTATCTCTGGTCCTTCTTCCTTGAGAAGAAAACTCCTAATTGTTCTTAAAAGTACTATACGTAGTACCCTGCCCAGTCGGTTGGTAATAGGCAGGTCTTGTTTGCCTTCACATGGCATAGCCACTTTGTCAATTATTCACAACACGGGTGTGTGTGCCTGCCTTCCCATCACAGGGAGGCTTAGGCCACAGCACAGCCTTCCTTCCTCGGCCCAGCTCCCGGCCCTGCTGTGTGTCTGTTCCGTCACCTGGGGCAGTCACCTTCCCTCCACCCCAGTTTCCTCATCTGTGACGCTGGCATGATCAGCCTCGAGGGCTCTTGTGAGGATAAATACGATCAAGGATAAAGCACTGAGAATAGCGTCAGGCACCAAGTAAGCTCTCATTAATGTTAGTAATGACTACAAATTACATAAGCAGTAAGCTGACTCATCTCTCATTCATCTCTCTTCTCTGGGAGACAAAAGTGGATGAAATTACTGCCAAGTTTGAGTGAAAAGGTTGGGCGTGAGCCCTGGTGTTCGTGTCCAGGTTTTCGCTGTCAGCTCAGAATGTGAAAGGGCGGTGGTTACGGAGATGAACCAGCTTTCTTCTCCTTCCTCCTCCAACATGTCTCACCCCAAACCCCTGTTTCAGGTGATCTGAGGGTCCACAATGGGGAAGAACTCCAGCTCACCACCACTATCACCCACGTGGACGGACCCACCGAGATCTACAAGTTGACCCGCAAGGAGGCCCAGGAATAGATGGCGGCAGCACCTGGCTGGGACTGTTCCCCACATCCCAGCCCTTCTGACTGGAGTGTGGAGCACGCCAGCGAGAGCTCACTGCGTGAACCAGCCCTCCACTGCTCCCGTGTCTTAGCTGTGGTTTCTTGGAACAGTGGCGTGGACGTTGTCACTTTACCTTCTGACCACAGCTCTTGGGGGAAGATTCCACAGCCACTAAGGCGTTGTGTATAACAAAACCTCTGGTATGACACATTTTCTGTGATCATTGTTAATTAGTGATGTAGTAACATCTGTAGCAGGTGGTTAGTAAACCTCATGTGTTGGGGGTATACTCCTTGGGGGGATGATGTGGGCCAGATGGGGTCTATATGGAGTGGAATGTTTGACTTCTTTTCCTGTTTTAGATTCTAGGATAGGTTTTTTAACATCCTTTGCAGTCCAAGAGAGGCTGATGTCATAGTTTCTCACTCCTAGTTCGTGACCACTTTTTTTTCCTATTTATATCACCAGGTAGCCTGTTGAGTTAATATTTAAGTTGTCAATAGACATGTGTCCCTCTTTTTTATGGCATACTATAAAATAACTGAATTTCGTGAGACGGTCTATTTCAGCTTTGGAACCAAATCTGTGTATCCAGTACTGACCGAACTGTTGGATGTGGGTTGGGTCTGAAAAGCTTTTTTTACCTCCTGCTTACAATGTGTTTCCTTTTGATAAGATGCTTCAAGCAGCCCCCAGAAGTGTAGATCGGATCAATGAAATAAACCTGTACGTATATGCATATATGTACATGCACACGTCATCCTCCTGCTCAGCCAGGACACACGCATGCAGATTCTTTTCCATGTCAAGTCCATGGGGTGGGGGGAGTGGCTTTATGAGAAATTAAAGTATTTTGCCATCAAATCAAAGTGTTTGGGGGCAGTATCTATTTTTGGAAATAGGATAACCTTTAGTACTGGTGGTTAATCTGCCTCACTGTCGTGTCTGGCTACAAGGGTGGGGAAAATGTGACATGATTTAGAAGCAGATTACCCCCCACACACACACCTATTCCCACTTCCATGAATAGCCTGTTTGATGGTGTTTTAACTCTGCCACTGGAGAGGCAGGCAACGGTATAACAGAGGGAAAGAGCCTGGATCTGAGGTTGAGAAGGCAGTTTCCCATGGAAAGTCTGCCCTTTATGAGTGTGACCTTGTTGATGCCTCCTCACCCACCAACTGGCCTCCATAAACTTTGACTGCTTCGCCGGGTTGCAGCACCTAGTAAGTCAGGTAACGTATATGGAAATGAATTTTAAACGCAAAGGCCATATGAATGTGCTCTTCCTGGAATCAAAAACAACTCCAGGAGCATCCTGCTTTTCAGACACGGATGCCAAGAAGTCTGGATCACATTCTAATTCATCCACTCAGCACCCACCATCCGTCCCCGCCACCCCATCCCCTGATTTGGCTAAAAGCACAGCAAGCAAGGGCAGAAGGAAATACTTTGGCTTTGGCTGTTCTCTCGGGCCTTTTCCTATCCTGGTAAACATCTGACGGTGTATGAATGAATTCACTCCACATCCACTTCTGATCATCCACGGTGGTGCTAGGAATTAAAGGTAGCCCATGCCTCCCCATCTGGAAGGGGAGATGAACATGAACTTAAAACATGGCCAGGGATCTCCAGTCCCAGAGGGAGCAGGGAGAGGTTCTCTCAAAGAAATGGGGAAAGGGCCTGAGATAGACCTTAAAAAAAAAAAAAGATTTTACCAGGGCCAAAAGGCAAAGGGACCAGAAGTACAGGAATCATGGAGGAAGTGAAGATGGAGGCTGTTTAGATTAGTCTGCTCGTCAGGCCTGCCTGGCACCAGGAGTGGAAATAGCAGGAGGTAAACCTGTGCACCTGGGAGGCGGGAGGAGAAGGGTCGTCATGCTGTGGTGAGAGCCATAAGACAGCCTTTGGGTTTTAGAGAAGCGATGTGCTCTGAATTACCTACCGCTGGAGGCTATGGAGGCTGGACACGCCCAGCAAAGAGACCACAGGCCTGCACCTAGGGCAATACTCCAGGATGTGGAGAGGAGGGGACTTGTTTAGGAGGTAAAGCTGGCAGGGCTTGAGTATTCTGAATGTGGGCCTCAGGAAAAGCCAGGGCAGAGTCAAGTTTCAAGCCTGGCTGGGAAGGGAGTGGCAGGGCCCCAACAGAATTAGAGATTCCTGAGTATTCTGAATGTGGGCCTCAGGAAAAGCCAGGGCAGACTCAAGTTTCAAGCCTGGCTGGGAGTGGCAGGGCCCCGACAGAATTAGAAATTCCGGGAGAAGTGTAGGTGGTTGTGTTACTTAAAGGTCTATAAGTAGCAAAAGCCAACTCAAGCAAGCTTTGCCAAAAAAGGGGCCTCACTAGACTTCTTCTAGAATATCTCATGAATCCATGGAACAGCTGAATGACCAGAGAGCTTGGGAACTGGATCAGTTCTAAGGGACCCCTGCACCGGGGACTCACGGGTTTTTCCCTGCACGGTGCCATTTATAATTAGCCCAGGTCTTTGTCTCTCTCACTTCAAGACTAGGAGAGGCTCAGTGGCTCCGCCTCAGGCAGGTGCCTGTCCCTGTGGCAATCAACTGTGATCAAGAAGCCAAGTGGCTTTGAGCAGCGAACCCTGTGGATTGGGGTCAGTTTCCAAAGGATGGTGGCAAATCCATTTAGCCATGGGCAAACAATCAGAAAAGATCTACCACAAGGAGCGAGATGATAGGTTTGGATTTGTCTGGGTTGGGTTTTAAAAGCCATCCTCTGGAGGGATTGACAAGCTGACAATTAGAAATGAGAGGTTGAGCGGACCACTCGGGGGCAGGAGGTTTGGCAGCCTTTACCCCTGAGAAGAAGTGCAGCTGGGCAGCTCATTAAAGCCTCCGGGAAGATAACCAGGAGCTGGGAACCAGGCCTGCCCACATTCAATAGGTGAGAGGAAGAAAATGAGGTAGATTACTCAGGAAAACGTGAAGTGTTAAAGAAGCCAAAGAAAGAACCGGATTTATGGGGGAAAGATGAGATATCCTGAGAGAGTCAACAGTATTTAAGGATTGAATATAAAGCCTGTTTGATTTGGTGGTTTGAACCTGGCCTTCTCAAGTGGCAAGGCCAGAAGTCAGAGGTGGAGCTGTCAATGGCAGTCGTTATAGGAAGGAAGGAGGTAGGGTTGTGGTTGGTTATTGGACGAGCCAAAGGCTTACATATATTAGTTTGGGGAAAGAACTGGACTGAGTTGGTGAACCTGAGGGGTGAGAGCCAGCCAACAAGTCAAAAGGATGATGACATAACATAAGCCCCAGGGAAGATTAGTGACTTTGGGATCTAGGACACGAGTTGATGTGTTCATTTTGAAAGAGTGAAAGGACATGTTCATCCTGAGATGAGAGAGAAATAACTGATGGATGTTGGAGAGGAAATTTTAGGTCAAAAGGAGAGAGGTTGTTGCTCAGCCAGTGTGGCTCAGTGGTTGAGCATTTACCCATGAACCAAGAGGTCACTCACTGGTTTGATTCCCCATCAAGGCACGTGCCTGGGTTGTGGACTCAATCACCAGTAGGGGGCGTGTAGGAGGCAGCCAATCAATAATGTTTCTCTCATCGATGTTTCTCTCTCTCTCTCTCTCTCTCTCTCTTTTTCTCTCTCAATCAATTTAAAAAAGAAAGAGAGGTTGCTGCCTTCTCTCTGTGTGTTCAGTCTTCTCCACAAACTTGAAAAGTTCTCAGTTTCAAGAATGCCAGTTGAACACAACCTTTTCAATCAGTGGAAAATTCAAGAAACTCTTCACCAGGTGAGAAAAAGCCTTTGGTAAGGACAACTAACCTAGACAAAACAAAGTATTTGCCATGGATACCAGTGTTATAAATTGCCCTAATATTTTTCATGTAGTTTTGAAGAATATTATAGAAAACATGTATAAAATATCACAATTATATACTTTTAAAAAATAAGAAAATTCAGCAATATAGTCAACAAACACAACACAATTACTCTTTCAAAGAAAAAACAAAAATCAGGTTTATGTTGGTCCACCCACTTGGTATTCACTAGGTGTTATTCCTACATTTTTCCCTTAGGGAAAGAGAATGTCCATAATAATGAAATAAGTCTGCTCTCCGTGTGAAGCAGGGGGTCCCTCGGGGGTGAGGACGACAAAGCCCCAACGCGCTAGGGCGTCTGCATGCACGACTCGGGGACCAGGTTCAGTGACGCAGATCCGTTTTATTGTGGAACTACAGGGGTATATATAGCATGAGGGGACCAATCAGAGGGAGACACGTTGCTATAGGCGACCAATCAGAGGGAGACACGTTGCTATAGGCGACCAATGGCTGAAAGGCTGGGGTACTGTGCACGTGGCTCTAGGAGTTAGTTCAGGCGGGCGTTGCTATTTCCTGGTGTGCCGAGGAAGCATGTCATGGTGGAGTGTGCTCACACCATTGCATCAGCCGCAGCGCTGAGACATACTTCCCGAGCTCTACTACATCCGTGTGACCTCCAGGTAGTCTGAACCATTTCTCAAAACTGAGATAAAACACTCTTGTAATTCTGATGCCCGAGTCTTTCAGCCCATCTCCCTGAGCTGGTGAATCCCTTGGAAGTCACACCCCTGGAGGCCTAGAAGGGACTTCTGAGAAAGTTGAAAGAAATTCAGAGGGGAGATGGGGCTTGGGTGCCATCCTTAGCTTTGTATTTCTAAAAACTGTTTTATCAACTGTGTCAAATTGATCAGGCTCTGAGAGGCTGACTGGTCACATTGGGGAATCTCAATGAACTACAGTTGTGATGCTATCTTTTACACAAGACAGCAGACACATACCGTGGCTCCATCCCCCCAGATGAGGTAACATCTCAACCATCACAAAGCCTGAGGCATCATCCCTGTGCGTCAAAGGAAATACACATGACTCTGGGGAAAGTGCCTCGCATAGTGTGGGGATTCCACTGGGGAGGGTCGGTGGGTGAGTGAGTGAACACACCTCAGCGATTCCAGTCTCTGACTCTGTGGTCACGTAAACTCGTTGGGACCCCCTTCTCTTGTTTGATTCAAGCAGACTTTGCTTCTTTCCCTGCCATTCATCATCGGGATATGTGAGTGCCATTGATGTGGCTCAACGTGTTGGTGCATCTGACTTTCACGCGTCTATACCTTTGCCCCTGTGTTTCAAGGCCCTCCCACCCTGTGGTGCTATAGGAACCCAGAAGCTTGCTCACTGACACCTGTAAGCTTGCTCTCACCTATCACATGTTGATATGTGACTGATTTCATTGTATAGGGACGACTTGGTTTCTGAGACCACCTACTGCCCTTTCTCCTGACTTCAGAGGGGCCTTCCAGGCACTCCTTGAACCCTCTGAATGTCCGGAGCTTCCTGACTCTGAGCATGCGCTTTTCTCTGGTTGCTGAGAAGGTCCTTCGGCAATGAGAACAGGCCTGCCTTTGTGAATTTGACCCTCCTGTTCTGATTGAACATCTCCCTACAGGTCCCGTCCACTCAGGGCCCCTCTCCTCCAGGCTCCCAGCTCAGTTCCTCACCCGCCTCCTCCAGACACAGTTCCTTCATGACTGACTGCTTGCCTGGCAACGGCACTGTAGTTTCTCATCGTTCCAAAGTCTGATACTCACCCTGCACTTCCACTCTGGCTGCCACAGATGGGTGTGAAAATAATACCAGCACTCCCCGTCCTAAGAAAATGAAACCACGTTTAAAAAAATATCCACATCTTACACATTTTTGCTTCTTGTGACCACATATGATATGTATACCCACTCAAGCACTTTGAGTTTTAAAAAATGAGTATTACCAATACGTTCCTTTATATTCAGGAACATTTTCAGCTTAATCATAGGACTTTACATGTATCCCTGTGATATTTCACTCTCTTCTCACA